GGCACCAGAGAGTGAGTCACACCACGGGAGCAATTCTGACAAAAAAAGACCCTGCCTTTGTGAAGTGGGGACTGCCAAAGGTTGCACCCTGGCAGGTCTGCGGTATTTATACACAGGGTTGGAAACGGGAGCCCACGTCGGTTTGGAGTTGCAGGGATCCAGAGGAAAAGCTTCAAAATGAGGGCAGTAGAAGGCCACTCTCATTTTCCACTTATCTGGACAAAACAGCTGAATCAGGGGCTGAAACCTTCCCAGAAAGACCGAGACCTGCTCCTGGGGCATTTTGGGGAACCTCTCCCACCTCAGCACACGCCACTGTTTCAGAGGCCTCACTTCAATTACAATACTCACGCCAGAAACGTCGCTTTTCCAATTTCAAAGAAAACTTTTTTCACATACAAACTCAAAGCGAACATACCCACTTTAACTGTATCAGGTTTACATGTGCAAGCATCAAACTGACTCAGAAACAGTAATTTAAAAGCAGCAGGAGAAAGCTATGTGCTAGCACCAGCATATGGTGCCTATAGGTATTTTTAGAACAAAAGAAAGAAAAAAAGAAAGAAGGTTCTCAATGTAGATAAAAATACAGAAACTTCCACCAAGTGAGAAAGTTTCAATATGACTGTGGAGCCCTCCCCTTCCTCTCAAGATTTAAGATATTAGAGTACGAATTGGTAAAGCAGTTTAACTGACTCTCTAAACCTTCACAACTCTTTTAAGTACTACCAGCAAAGCACTAGATATATCAACACCACTTAACCATGAGAGGAGTTGTGTTTGCTACTAGCTTTGAATTTGAAAGAGAAACTTATATATTATTTGAAACTACTTAAAATTCAATTTTCCCCCTGTTCACAGCTAAAATAATTTTTAAGCTCCAACCACCAGTTCACAAAGATCTTGGTGTTCACAGCATCGTGCATCAGCCCCACACTATTTGCCCACACACCTACATCAATCCCAGTGAAGAAGCAAAACTTTGTAGTCTATCCACAAGGACACTCTGTTTGAATGACCAGCTGCTTCACGAGTGATGAGGTCAGAGCAGCTTCCTGTGGCAGAAATGGGATTGGAGCCCACCTGAGCAGAGCCCACTGGAGCAGCACTAACATAGGCTCCCAGCGTAGCTCAAGCAGCCATTTCTCAAAGCTCCCAGAAACAGCTCATTCAGACAAGCCAACTTTTCAGAAGAACACAAGAAAGCAGCACATAACACACAGACATTACAGAGCCACCTGAAGTGATGCACTCTGCCTTGACAATCTAAGAACTATATAGATGCTAACAAAGTAATCACATACTCTATGTGCGTTTCCATGCCTCAGTTTCCTCACCTTCACAGAGGGTTCCTCGGGCCCTTCCAAGGTCCTGCAGATCACAAGTCCCCCCTATGCTTCAGACCAGCTCCCTGTGACTACGGCTGCTCGTAACCATCACCCATCCCCAACAAGAGCATTTCTGCTCTTCCAACCCCCACACTTCCTGTGCACCTTTTTTTTCTTCCCCAGCCAAGACTTTCATCTTAGAGGTTAGAACCAACTCCTAATTTTTTTTTTTCTGCATTTGATAATGTTTCAAACTCGGTCCTCTGCTGAGATACTTAAGTCCATCTTGTTCTTCTCTGAGTTGCTGCAGTTTGCCGCCCTGATATCTCACGCTGAATAAGAAGCCACTGAGCTCTGGTGAGTTACCATTACACCTAGTCTAAGGGGAAATGTGCCACTTCTGAGCAAATTTGGCCTCCATCACTCAGCAGTGTCTAAATAGTATAAAAATCTCACTCAAACATCTTTTATTCAACATGGAAAGATCCACAAACTGACAAATACATATGGTGTTAACTGTAATGATTTCAAAGACATTTTAAACCAACAAATGCAATGAGTAGAATGGTGGCACCCATGACAAGCAACAGAGCTGAAGGTACAGAATCTTGATTGTGTCCTCTCTTCTGCCACAGGCAGCCATAGGAGCTACTTAGACACCTGAAGGTGCCTTCAGGAAAGATGAACATGATGACAACACTCATTAGATAGGATCAGTTGATCTAAAAAAAACAGTAACGGAAGGATTTGTCCCTTCATTACACAACCTGATAGAAAGATGAACAAGAATTTTGCTTTTCTCAAGATCTCCATTGTCAAAACATGAAAAAGTAGGAGACCTACAAACACAGTTGAGTAAACAGAGCAAAATAAATCTATGTTTCACTGCATGGATAAAATGGGTATCTGCCATCTGCAGCACACACTCAACAACCCCAGGGAAGAAACGGTCCCAAAGGGTGACACAGCGTGAGGTGAAAAGCCAACCTAATTAATGACAGGTGGAGACCACTGAAGTCAAACAGTTTTACATCAAAGTGCGGCTACTGCAAATAGATCGAGAGAGGGCACGTGGATCCTACTCCTCTCGCATTGATACCGTTTGCTTGTGGCCAGCAGCCATCGCTGTGTCCCTCCACACGCCGTAGCTCTGATGCAGGGTTTCCCTCTCCGTCGAAGCACCCATGGATGGTTGCTCTGCTTTGTACCAGGCAGACGCGCTCCAAGACGTATCGGCCAGCACCTGAACTATTTCAAATCGGGCTTTTTCATTAATTCATTCCCATTAACCGTTTTTCAGCAGTAAACGCTGACATTTTTCAGCAGTGTCCCAGCGGATAACGATTCCCTAATCTGTCCGGTACCAAAAATGCCTGGGCGATGAAGGACTTAGGGGAAAGCTCCCCACGAGATGCCTGACGCCTCCGCTAAGTATTTCCACCTCAAGGCAGCAGAAGGCAAAGAGGGGTGGCGGGG